GTGTGTGTGTGTGTGTGTGTGTGTGTGTGTGTGTGTGTGTGTGTGTGTGTGTGTGTGGTGTGTGTGTGTGTGGTGTGTGTGTGTGTGGTGTGTGTTGTGCGTTGACTCGGCTGACCTCCTTGTGCATTTCATTTCCCGGTTGTTGTCTGGGACAGGAAAAAGTACAACAAGCCGATTCCGTTTGTGGAGCCGCCCCACTGCGACCTCAGAGGTGGACAGTTGTGTGCTGCTTGTGGTTGTGGTTCAGACTGCCATTGTTGTCTCTCACTCACGCGCCACTCACCCTGCACTCTTCACACACTGGCATTCACATAGCCAACGCGAGCGAGGATGCTGACGACTGCGACGGCGATGACACGAACGGCGACAGCGGCGAGTTCGAAACGCCGCCCTCATCCATGCCGGCATCGCACGAACAATCGCAACCAACCGAGGACACCTCCAACATTTCATCATCACCATCGTCACCGCCATCTTCATCATCGCCGTCGTCGTCCAAGGATTCGCGACAGCAGAGGGCGCAGCAAACAAAGGCATCAGCACCATCCCCGTCACAATCGTCATCAGGTGCAACGCACACGCGCGGTCCACTGCACTCCGTCTCCTCCCCCGCCGTCGCGCCCATGGCAACAGCACGATCATCATCGTCGACACACGCGCACAAGCACACGCGCGAGCGACAGGCCGCCTCCACCAACACAACAGCAAGGGCGCCAAGATCATCAACTCCGCCATCATCATCGTCGTTGTCCTCTTCGCTGTCATCATCATCGCGTGCGCACCATCATCGCCACCATCGTCGCAGTGCTCGGGAGAGCAGCAGTGCGCTGGGGCCGCCGCTCGGCCACCTCGCCTTTGTATAGACACGTGCATGTGTGTGCATGTGTGTGTGTGTGTGTGCATGTGTGTGCATGTGTGTATGCATGTGTGTGTGCATGTGTGTGTGTGTGTGTGTGAAAGAACGGGTGGTGTTTCTTTTCTTGGTTTTTTCCGCCTAACTTGTGCACTATGCTCGCTTTCTCTTTCCCTTTGGCCAGTTCAACTGTTGTCTTAATCATCCAACGACGGCTTTCGCTGCTTTGGCTGCGTTCTGTCCCCCACCCCCTCTTCTTGCTTCCCTTCCCCATGCTTCTTGTCTTCCCGAAATAGGATTGTTGTCCTCACTGCAGTGTTTACTGCTGGGCATGTGCACACAATGAATCGGTGCAAGCGGGGCATGCGGCACAATACGTACAGTTGAGGTGGGTCAATGCACCACGAACCACCATCACAACGACAAGCTAAAATCACCGCCAGCACGCACGCGATGCCAACACGTCAGCAAGCACATCGGCGAACACACGACCAACCACTTTCATACGCAAGCCGCCGCTGTCAGAACTTCCATAACTGTCACCATGACAAACCCCATATCGCCCACACCAGCCACCACCAGCACCAGCACCACCAGCCACCAAGCAACCAAGCTTCCATCACTTGCACCACCACCACCACCATCCACCAATCTTCCATGCCTTCCATGCCTTCCATCACTTGCATCACTTTCATAGCTTGCATCACTTGCATCACCGCCATCACTGCAAACCCAGCGGCGCTACTCTGCAATGCTCCACGCCCGCAGCGAGGCGATGAACTGGCTTGGGTCCACCTCCCCTTCGCCAACCGTCGTCGCCGTGTGCTGCTCAACAACACGGTGCTGCGCCTGCGGCGGCGGCTGTGCAACGGCTTGCTGTGCCACAGGCTGTGCAATGGCTTGCTGTTGCGGGTGTTGTTGCTGGTGCTGCTGTTGCGAATCTTGTTGTTGTTGCTGCTGCTGCTGTTGCTGGTCCTGCGAGGCCTTTGGGTGCAGCTCAAAGAAGCGCTTTGGCTTGGGCTGCTGCTGCTGCTGCTGCATTGATGGCGGGGGTGTTGTTGTCGCCGTCTGCGGCGGTGTTGTAACGGCACTGGTCGTCGTCACGGGCGGTGTTGGCGACACACCGAGGGGTGGCGTCGTGACATGCGCGGCAGACAAGTGGCGTGGCGCTGGCGCTGGCACTGGCGGCTGCATGGGCGCTGCGGTAACGGAGGGGTGCACTGGTGACGCCGTTGATGGTGTTGTCGTTGCTGCTGCTGCTGCTGATGATGATGTTGCTGGCGTTGACGTTGTCGTTGCTGTCGTTGCTGTTGCCGCTGTCACCATACCGGCTGACTGGAGCGAGGCAGACGACATTGATGACGCAGGCAACGTGTTGTAACTACTGCTAGTGTTGCTGCTGTGCAGGCTGGCGACTGCGGACAGGGGGCGTGGCACGGTCGGGGTGGACTCTTCGTCCATATCAATCCACCCCCAGGCGATGATGGAGATGCGGCCCTGGTTGTGCTGGAGATGGTCTGGCACCTGCAGCACGCCGTGCTTCCACTCGATGTTCACGTCGCGGCCAAACGCGTACATGGACCCGTTTGGCTGCGGGATGGTGATGGTCGTGCCGTGTTTGGCGTGCAGGAACGAGATGTCCCGCTCCGCACCAAACGACGCCGCCACCGTCGCGTTCTGCGGGCAGTCGGGCGTGAACGCGGCCCGGTCGTGGTGCTGTTGGGAAGGGGTGAAGGGGGGGGGGTTGTGTTAGGTGGGGGTGTGGTGTTGGGTGGGGGTGTGGTGTTAGGTGGGGGGTGGGGGGGGGGTAGTGGTGAGGGGTGTGGCGTGATAGGGTGGGGCGTGATAGGGTGTGGGGCAGGTGAAGGGACATGGACAAGACATGCATGCACAAGCGCAACAGCCATCTGAATACTCCACCCTCCACACAAGTTCCATACACACAGAGCACAGAGCACACTCGCCATCGTGCCCCCACATCCCCAAGCCCCCATGCCTTGCGCTCAACAGACAGCCTTGTGTACGCACCCAAGGCTTCCAGTCGCTCGAGTCCTTGTACCAGTTGAAGCGAGTGGCCTTGATGTCCATGTCAAAGTACTCGCGCATGATGCGCACCACGCGCTGGAACGTCGGGCTCTGCTTCTTCCACTTGCCACCCATGCTCTTGTCGTTGGCAATCGTGTGGCTGTCCCCGTGCCACTTGACAAACAGCGAGTCGCACCCCGTGGCCTGCGTGGAGAGAGAGTGTGTGTGTTTGGGGGGGGGGGACGAGTGTGTGGTGATGAAGGGTGCAAGGGTGAGCGGGAAGGCGGGAGCAGGGCCTGACACGACCATGTAGGGCATTGGCCAGGGGGAAACAAGTTCACTTCAGCACACATCAACACACACACACGCACATGAAGTTCGGTGAGCAGGTTCTGGAACACGGTCGTGTCATCCTCGCGGCAGAACAACTCGGGAACCATCACCAGGTCATTCGCACCGTACCTGTGAGTGTGGGGGAGTATCAGTGAGGTGCAAAGCAGAGGGAAGGGGCACAGCACACACACACACACACACACACACACACACACACACACACACACACACACACACACACACACACACACACACACACACACACACACACACACACACACACACACACACACACACACACGCACGCACGCACGCACACACACACACACACACACACACACACACGCATACCTGCGGCCGAATTTGGGCGCCGAGGGTCCGACGATGAGCTTCATGTCCGGCCGCTGGAAGGAGGGCTTGAAGGACTCCGTGTTGCGGCCTTTCCCGCCCGATCGAGAAGACGTCGACGTGCGCCGGGCGTTTCCTCCACCACCGCCGCGCCGCTTGTCGCGCCGACGCGGCTGCGACTCGTCAGTCCGACCACCGCGGCCTGGCGTAGGCGTGTGCTGTCGGCTCCGCGACTCTGCTGCATCGGGCGTCGCATGCCCGCCACTCGCGCTGCCACTCCGTTGCTGCTGCTGTTGTGGTTGCTGATGTTGCTGTGGTTGCTGTTGTTGTTGTGGTTGCTGCTGCGGCGGCTGTTGCTGCTGGTGTTGTGGTTGCGCAAGCTTGTCCGCTTGCTGCTGTGGCTGCTTCTGCTGCTGCTGCTGCTGCTGTTGTTGTTGTTGTTGTTGTTGTTGTGCTGGTGGCGTGGCAGAAGAAGCGGGAGTGGTGGCGCTGCTGTTTGAGCTGCCTGCCGTCGTGGTCAGGCCAAGGCCAGGCGCTCCGCTCAAGTATCGGTTCTTCACAGGCATGGTCGGTGGTGGTGGTCGGTGGTGGGTGGGATGGCGCGCGCTTGTGGCAGTTGTGGCAGTTGTGGGCTCGGGCTGAACGTGCGCAGGTGGCAAAAGGGCAAGTTTGACGTTGACGATGAGGCAAAAGGCAAGTTTGCTGTTGCCTGGAAGTGTACTAGGAGTAGGACTGTAGGACAGAGCAGGATGGTGGGAGGGTGGTAGGAGCAGGAGAAGGACAGGTCTTCTGCGGGCAACACTGCAACAGGTGTCGCAGAGAACAGAAGAACAGCCAAAGAGCAACAGTGAAAGAACTCTATGCAACGAGTTGCTTTGTGAACGAGTGGGAAGTCAACGAAAGAACGAAAGACGAGGCACGGGGTATGATGAAAGGAAGTTGGGTGCTGTCAGAACGCATGAACAACAACACAAGAGGGAAGGATAGAGGCGCCACTGAAGTGAACTGACACCTTGACACGGGGAAAGAACACAAAGAGCTAGGGAGCAACGCGCCCAATGTGAGGGGGCAACACAAAGAGCACGGGGAACTTGGAGTGCTTGCAACGCGTTTCGATGCGGCAGGACGGGACGGGCTGACAGGATCAAGGGGTTGAAGAGCTTGGCTGGCTCGCAGGAGTGTCATCTTCAAACACAAGAATGCCACGCACGAGGACGCAGGACGGGTCGTTGATTACAATCTCGGCGGCCGTGCGCTTGCTGGCCCACTTGGACGACTTGAGAGGTTTGGCGTGAAGGATGTTGCCGGTGCTAAAGTTCACCACGGCGACATGAGCGTCATGGGTGCGAACGAGCGGCTTGCCGTTGAAGGACGTGTTCAGCACTGGGTATGGGTTGCCATACTGCACGTCGCACACAAGCACGACCCGCAACTGCTTGCCTGCAGGCAAGTTCAGGTTTCGCAGCACATCCGGCACATCATGGCACGCGCGACTGTACTCAAGGGCGCAATCGAGGTCTGGCGTGAAGTAGAAGCCAGCGCCGTACCAGCCGGCATCAAGCTTCTGCAGCTGTGCGAAATCGCCGCCCAAGATGCTCATGGCCACCGCAAAGGACGGCACGCCGTGGAACACGCGCTGCAGGCGAAGACGCACATCAGGCTGCATCATGAACTGATCCAACAACTTGTACGGTGGCGCGCTAGCGGTAGCAGCAGTTGTGGGTGGTGGATGCAGGGTGACGCGAGCAAGGACGGCTGACTTCTCGGCATTGACGGGGATACCACTTGGGAGTAGCTTGCCGTCTTCGCCCATCTGAAGTGCGTACTTGGGGTGGAACGGGTGGTTGGCGCTGCTCATGTGGCCACGATAACGGGTTTGGTTGCGGTGCACAGCGCCGTTGAAGGCAGCATTCTTCTGGCTGCACTGCACAACAGCGACGCCAACAACGGTCTTGCCAAAGGGCTGCAGAGGATTGGCTGTCGCCTCATCGCTCGAGCGGCCACCAGCTTCCGTGATCATCTGTCGCGTGTTCAGCGGCGTGGGAGACAAAACAAGAGTGGGTGACAGTTGGGTGTGAGCATTCGTGAAATGACGTGGCAGACGCGTCATAGCAACCCATTACTTCACAACCACAAGATTACACACAGACGCACAAGCACAGCCACACACACACACACACACACACACACACACACACACACACACACACACACACACACACACGCGCGCGCGCGCGCGCGATCTCACCTGTTTGACGATGGCGATGGCCGTGTCGTGTGCAGCGCCAACAGCAGCAATGCGCACTGACGCGCGTGTTGGATGAGTCACAAAGAGGGACCGAAGTGGATCCAAGTCCTTCGGCTGCCACTTCCACACAGCATCGGCAGGGCCGTGCAGCAGCCTGTGTTGCTTCGCCATGTCGACAGCCTGTTGGTCACGTACGGCGACATACTGGTCCTGCAGCGTACCTTGAAGCTGTACAAAAGATGGCCGGTTGCCGCCCACATCGAAGCACTGACCAAGCACCTGCTGCACCGCATGGCTCAGCCTGCGACCGTTGATCTCAGCGTTGAGTGGAAGGTATTCGCCCTTGTCATACGCGTTGGCAATGACAATCAGAGACGCACCACTTGCGGAGGCATAATTACCGTGGTGCCATGGCTTGGTGTTGAACAACAGCTCCCACAACAGAACGGCGAAAGAGAACACGTCCGTGTCCATGCGGAGTTCCTGCCCAAGTAGCTGCTCGGGTGACGCCCACAGCGGTGTGCCACCTCCATGTGTCAGCACGGACTTGTCTGTTGGCTTGAAGGTGCTCATGCCAAAGTCCGTCACCTTGGCGGACAGGGATGCATCCAGCAGCACGTTTGGCGATTTGAGGTCGCGGTGCACGACGTTGTGGGCGTGGAGGAACGCCATGGCACAGGCCACCTCAAACGCAATGCGATGGCGTGTTGCCTCGTCGAGCTGCTTCTTCACCACGTGCAAGACATCATACAGGGAGCCGTTCTCCGCCCAGCTCAGCACAAAGGCCAGCGTGTGGCTTTGCTCATCGTGGGTGAGGCCAAGGAAGTGCACGATGTTGGGATGGCGAAGAGAGAGCAGGATGCGCGCCTCGCGAAGTATTCGCTTCAAGTGATCTGAAAAGTCCTGCGAGCCGTCGACGCTAGACAAGATGTCAGTGACACGCGGGCGCTCTGTCACTTCGGTGAGCTGCTTCAGGGCCACAGGATGGTCAGCCAGCTCTGCCTTGTAGAGGGCACCAAATGCGCCACGAACCGGATTTCCTCCAACGTCTTTGTGAGGTTTCTTGTTCGTGAACCGAGACGATGGAATGTTCAAATTGAACACTTCCTCTGAGGGCACAACAGATGACAAACGAGCAAACGAACAAGCAAGCGAACAAAGCAAGTACACGTGTGAGTAGTACATAGCTGACCCAGGTGTGTGCTGGTTGCAGGTCAATTGCGTCGTTCATTCATACACGACAGGTACGACAGGCGAGTACATTTACCTAATTGCAATGCCCATCGCCGCTCACATTCACGAGAATGTTTGCCCTTCAACTCCGTCATGGCCTTCTCTGTTGTGATTTGAGTCAAGCAAGAGGGAGCAAGCGCGAATGAGGCGTCAAGCATCGCACGTGGAGGAACCAAGCCCGTCAATTCAACATGCACGTTTGCTTTTGTGCATATCGAGCTGGTTACAATCCTTGTTTTCACGGTCTTCTCTCTTACTATTGTCTTCGAGTCGTGCCGCTTTCCGATCAAGCTCATTCTCTGTCGAGACACGCAAGTGGCTCAGTGATTAGCTGTGACTACATCATCCATCGTCAACTCTAATTCAACCTCCGTCATGCAAGACAAGGCATTTACACCGCGCAACACGTACTCAGATCTTTGGTCGCCTTTGTCAATCGCTTGAAGATGCCGTTCACCTTTTTCACCCCACTGCCAGTGAACAGGCTCATGCACGATTGTGAGCACAGAAGCTTCACACCCCTGCATACCCCTGCACTATCAGACCAAGGTGCATGGGAAGACCCAAATCCCTTCTTGCATGCCCTGCACAGGACTTACAACTTGACGGCGACGTGGCGCTCCAACGTGATGACTGTGGCGGCTATGAGTTTGGCTTGCTTCTCCTGTAGAGGCACAGCCGTGAGGCTGGAAAAGACACGGGGTGCGTGTCATAGCAGGTGCGGCTCAAAGGTAACCCCGAAATTACACACACATACGCAAGCACGCGCACACACACACACATATACGCAAGCACACACCCAGACACACACACATGCACACGCACACACACCCAGACACACACACACACACACACGAACACAAACACGAAGAAACAGAACAACAGGCGATGCAGGGTTCTTACTCGACTTCAGTGATGGTTCTATCAGCTTCCAGAGCGAGCGCAATCGCCTCTGCGTATTGATCAAGATACGCGCTTGAGAAAAGTTCGTCCACCGGAAGGAAGAGGTTAAGGAAGGTCAGGGACCATGTGTTTGCCTTCTCAAAACTTCGTCTAAGCAAAACAACAAAACAATACAAATGTACAACGCGCACAGCATGGAGATGAGCGGACGAACAGAGTTTGACAACACAACCCCACGCAGCGCCGTCTGCGCACTCTTTCACATACTCTTGATCCGTCGCATCTATCTCATGTGTGCGCCACTTACGCTTTGAGTTGGCTGGAACTGGCGCGAAAGGAGAAGCGTAGGGGGAGTAAAGCAGTTAAAACGCGGTGGGTGAGCCACAAAATCAAAGAGAACACCAGATCGAAACAGCACAATTGCTGCAACAGAGTTTGCTTGACGACTGACTGACCTCTCGCTGTCAGGTTGTTTGTCGACAATGCTTTGGAGATGCGACTTTGATCCCGGCGCCAACCAGTTCATGGAGTTGAGCAGCTCTTTAAGTTGTTTGCGTGCAGTGTCACACTGAGCACTCTGCGCATCTTCCTCTTGATTGGGGGTCTCTGTACCGTGTGTTTCGTGGCTCAATGAAGTGTGGATGACCGAAGCAGCAGCGTCGATGTTTGTGGTTGCCACACTTGCACCTCCCTGAATGTCGCTTGATGTGATGATGCTTTGTTCATCCCCAAGCGTTCCCAGCGTGCTCATGGTCGCGGATAAGCCAAGTCAGGAAGAAGATCCCGAGAACAAAGCCGACTGCAAGAGTGTTCGACACACAGAGAGCAGAGGACGAGACGACAAACAAAGTCGATGGTGGAAGAATGGATGTGAGAACAGCAGACAGGTCGTGTGCTTCGTTGGCATCAATGAATCAGCCAACACGACAAGAACAAAATGCGTCGTTGGTTGGCGATGGCGCCATGGGAATTCTTTGGTCGCAGACGCTCAACGCACGACGTCTAATGCTGCTCTGCTCTTCGCGTGAGCAAGCATCACACGAGAATACTTTTCTCAACAAGAGAAAAGACTCGTCAAATTTGGTAGGAGTTCCCATTTCCGATCGTACAAGTTTCCTTCTGTGGTGGTGGAGTTTCCCGCTTTGTGTTGGGTTGCGAAGTTTCGGCATGGGAAAAAGCGACAAGTGAAGAGGGAAAAAACAAACAAACCTGCTGTTACACTTCCACTCCTCCAACAATCAGTGAACGCTCCGTTTTTCTTCGTGCGCCATCTCGCATCTGCGAAGACACTTGTGTCATGTCATTTCACCACAGTCAGACAACCACACACCCAATACGATACGCGTGCGACGAACCAAAATGGCGCAGTGCTGGATGCTTATCGCTGTGGTTTGCGCGGCAGCGCTTGTCCTCCAACCACTGGTGAAGACTGCAAGCGCTCTACCCATCACACAGGAACGCCAAGACTTCGAAGCGAGGAAGGTACGTCAAGATGCCAAGCTTTTTCTGACTCCAGAGCAATGACACGACGATGTCTTTAGGCGGCGTGACCCAGTGACTCAGCGACCATTTTGCTTGCTGTGTCTTCGTGTCTGTATCTGTGTGTTTGTGAGTGTGTCTGCGTGCGTGTGCGCATGTTTTCATGCGTATGTGCGCGTGTGTATGTGTGCACGTGCACGTAGATGTGATTGTGTGCGTGTGTATGCGCGTTCACGTTCGTTTTGCATACATTGTCTTTCTCCATAGCGTTGATATCGTTGTCAGAGATGACACAACACCACGACTTCAAAATGACACTCATCTCATGATCTTCTTTTGTCTTCTGCGTGTTTGGTCTTTGCACCTTTGCAGGAACACCTCTGTCGCGATGCGGCAAAAGGCCTGGAAACCATTCCCACGTTGCTGAACTCCTATTCTGAGGACTTTGCACTGAAAGAAGGCGAGACTGGTGCCACAAGCGCCAGCTCCACAGACTTGAAGCGTGTATGGCAGCTGGTCAACAAAATGTGCATCGACACGCGTGCGATCAATGCCCCAAGAGAGGGTGTACTCAAAGCCTCAGGCTCAGAGCGCCAGGATGAAAGTGACTCAGCACGTGCAAGCCAAGCGCAGCACCATATGGCCAACGCCTTGCTCCCTCAAACCTACCCTCGCCAAGAGCGAGTGCGTCGGCAAAGTCGGCCCAAGTCGTCAATCCAACCCCCATTCTTCCCTTTGCTTCCACAGTCGACACACGTTGTGCCCCGACCACCGTCTCAATTGCACGCGACAAGGGACATGTGTGCTGCTCAGGGGACACCGGTGACTTGTTCTTTGGCCAACATTTTGCAGTGCAACTGCACAGCTACTTCTTCAACGACATCGACCCTCATTGTGGTGTTCAGCTCCGGCAGCCCCCCTGTCCTCAATCCAAGCCAAGAATGTATTGCCACCACTTATCATATGCTTCAGCCGTGTGCGCTGCATATTCAGGGTGATGTGGACTCAACCAAACTGCAACCGTTTCTTGCAGCCACCAACTGGACATCAGTGAAGAGCCTCACTCTGCGTGGTCTTCGGTCCCCAACATTTGCCCTGCATTGGCTGCACACGACGCCCAGCGTGGTTGAGCTTGACATCAGCCACAACAGCGTGCAAACAGTGGATGTTTGCTTCTACGACGGGTGCTTGTCGCAGCTCATCTCGCTCGACCTCTCACACAACCTGCTCACAGAAGTACCATCTCCACTCTTTGAAGTCGGCAAGACCATCACCTCGCTCGATTTGAGTCACAACTTTATCACAGTCTTTGAAGCTCGCACGCTCTTGGGCCTCCCCATTACTGAGCTGGATCTCTCTGACAACAAGATTTCCGTTATCGCAAATTATTCCTTCGTGTATCCAGCCAAGGTACAGGTGCTGGACCTGCGATCCAACAATTTGAAGCATCTGGCACTCGAAGTGTTCTACAACTGCACAAGTTTGACACACATCTACTTGGCAGACAACCTGTTGGACGAAATTGAGGGCGTTGAATTCCAGCCCCTTCAGCATCTTGAAGTGTTGGATGTGTCCAGCAACTATCTCACCGTTGTGAAGGAGGGGCTGGCAACCGCATCACTGCAGTCTCTGTACCTGCACGACAACATTATCACACAAGTTGACCGTGCCGCCTTCTCGCTGGGTACGCACCTCAAAAACTTGACACTCGATGGCAACCAGTTGCAGCATTTACCAGAGGGCGTTTTCGCTGCGTGCAGAAACCTTCAAGCGCTGTACTTGCAACACAACCAACTGAAGTCCGTCACTCAGAACACGCTACAAGGTGGAGATTCGCTTACCGCACTGTATCTGAGCCACAATCACTTGACTGAAATCAAGGACCTCGGGCTAAGGAAACTAGCCACACTTGATGCATCGTTCAACCAACTCGACTACTTTTACCTTCATTCAAGCGCATTGCTCACTTCCCTGGATCTGAGCGACAACCCTTTGAGCGCGGTTCCCGATCTGACCCCGCTGACGCAACTTCAACTCTACGGACAGCGAGACCATTTCATGGCCATCATCGATCTCAGCGTGTTCGCGAACATGACGGGCCTGAGAGTGTTGGATATGGACGCTGCAATTGGAAGCACAAGTGCAGTCGTGTTTTCGCGACATCAGGCACCAGCGTGGAGTTTGTCTGATCTCGTGTTCTTTCACATGGCAAATGTCATATTTCCACACGAATGGCTACATGGCTCCAACGCCACCGCTAACTTGATCAGTCTGCACATTGGCTGGCCTGGCCTGAACGAGACATTGCTGCCAAATCGCCAATTGTGCAGTCTCCTCGGCCCTGAGGCGACTGAGCTGGCGCTGGAGTCCACTTCGTACACAACTCTGGAGCTCTGTGAGGGCGTGTCACTGAAAACGGTGTTTTTGATGAACAACTCTGCCATTGAGCACGTGTTTGTGCATGGCTCTCCCAACCTCGTGAACGTGTCTGGCTGTTCTTCTTTGGCCGAGATGTCCGTGCCAGAGGTTCCCGTGCTTGATATCAGTGACACCAAGATTCCACCACATGAGGCCCTGTGTGATACACAAGGCTCGACTATTCTCATCGCGCGCAACTGGAGTCATCCACGCCTCGGCCAGAATAGCGACACCAAAGCCCTCATCACCCGCTGTTTGGAGGCTGTGAATGTGTTCGATTTGTCGGACAATCAATGGCTTGCCTCCCTCGACCTCGTTGAGGCTGCCGCGCGAACAGTCATCTTCAGCACAGACCCAACTCTTTCTCCCGACGGGCGGTATCAGCCATCAAGAATCGCACCACAAGTGTTCTTGACACAGCACACGCTTGTGGAATGTGAACTCAACTTTGACGACCCATACATTGCCACTGACGAGAGCGTCATCAGCCGACGTCTGGGCTACAACTTCCAGTGTGATTGCGTTTTCGGGTCTGTGCAGGGTGGACAGTGCTTGCAAAGCGCACACTCCAGCTCACATGCTCGAAAGGTTCAAGCAAAGCTGCTTGCGGCCGTGTTCTTTGGTGGGGTAGCCACCACAATTGTCTGCTTTTTCGTCGGGTTCAGGTACTTGGGACGACGGACGGCATTCCCATTCACGCGTCAGCAGAACAATTACACTACTGTGTAAGCGCACCGATTCGGGATACGGCCCACCCCAGCCCTCAAGGTTGTTGTGATGGTCTCTTTCTGTTCTGTGGTGAGTGTGCACTCACAGGCTTCCTGTCATCCTCGTGTCCCCCCCCCCCTTTTTTTTTTTGGAGTTGAGTGAACGGCCTCTGCTTTTTGTTTCTGCGTCTTGTTCTGCGTTTTGTCTCGTCAGTTGGCGTCAGTCTGTCGGTGCTGGCCTTGTGCTTCTCCTCCCACTGTCCAAGTGTCGAACAATTCGTTTCGTTGACCTAAGTCAAGGCATGCTGGGTTGCCTTCCCCACTTCCCAATTCCCCTCCACTTAGACATCGAGCAGGCTCTTAAGCTCTGTCGCTTGTTGTGTTCTTCTTTTTCTTCTTGTTGTGCTCTGCCGCACTCTGCACGAGGATGTGTAGCTTGTACTTTTCTTCTTTTCTTTTCGTCGACGTTCAGACGTTCATCCTTTCATCAGCCCATGCTCCACTTTCTTGTTGCTTTCTTTGGGTGTCTGCAAGTAGAACAGCAAACCCCACCAACGCAAAGGGCATCCTGGAAACAGGAACCGGGAGGAAGGAACTAAGGAACTGAAGGAGCAAAGCAACAAGCGACACAGGTCTGCAGGCTGCCTACAGTCACATCAGCACCAATTCAAGCGATCCCGAATTAATCGAACATGACAATTTGCAGCGCGGTCCTGCCAAACACAATCATTCTGACCTCATCCACAACAGCACCACGCTGCTCATCCATCCATCTACCGCCCACATCACCCACCATTATGTTCGCCCGAAGCGTTGACGAGGTGGAGGCTGTTGACTATGCGACCCTGTGTCCCAAGGACCCCACCAAGGAGGCCATCGATGGCTACGTTCAGGTGCTGCAGCAGCAGCTGCTTCTGCTGCCTGCCTGCTTGTGTGTGTATATGGTTTACTGTGTTTGACTTTCTGGACGTCATGCTGTTCCTCGTGTCTTCAGGCCCCTCTTGTTCTTCCCTCACCTCCTCCACCCTCTTTCTTCTCCTCTTCTGCTTCGTCCCAATCCCTCTTGCAACGTGCGTGCCATACATCTAGGGCTTCAAAGCAGCGCTGAAGGACAGGCCGGAGATTACAGACGAGTTTAGAGAAGAAGCCCGCGCACCCACCATTGCAACCATCATGCGGTGCGTATGTGTGTGTGCGTGTGCATGTGCATGTGTGTGTGCATATGCGTGCTGCATCCTTGTCGGACACCGCAGCAGTGCGTGTCCTCATTCCTCTCCTGTTTGTCGTTCTTTCATTCCTCCTTCCCTTGTGATCCAGGTTTGTTCGGGCGCGAAAGTATGACGTCGAGGCCGCTGTGCAGCAGTTTGTTGATGCGGAAGTATGGTATCATGAGAACGACGTCGCTTCGGCCCTGGACACTGATCCAGACGAGGAGGTGTGTGCGCGTATGTGTGTGTGTGTGTGTGTGTGTGTGTGTGTGTGTGTGTGTGTGTGTGTGTGTGTGTGTGTGTGTGTGTGTGTGTGTGGTGTCTCTACTTTCGTCGACCTTTGGGCCATCGCCCAGTGTCGTCCCCCCCACCTCCACTTCGACCCCTTCCCTTCCACTTTCACCAAGCCTTGCGCCTCACACGCGCGCTCTCTCCAACAGGTGTATCAAGCTTTCTGCCCTGTTGCCCCCGAAGGCTTTGACAAACACGGCAGGCCAATCTACTGGGAGCGCACGGGCGAGATTCGCTTGCCAAAGGTGTGTGCGTGCGTGTGTGTGCGTGTGTGTGTGTGTGTGCGTGTGTGTGTGTGTGTGCGTGAGTACATAGATCTGTGTGTATGCGTATGTGTGTGAGTACATAGGTCTCTGTGTATGTATCCCTGTGTGTGCATTTGTCAGCCTGTGTGCGCGCGTGTGCTTGTGTTGCGTTTCCTCACTTCCTCATTTCACCGAGCTCCTTTGAGACCCTGAACTTGCTTCAATTCACGCCGGTTCACCTCCTCTTCCCAATTGGCGCCAAATGCCGCACGCTGCAGGTGCTGAAGCTGTTGACAGAGGAGAAGCTTGTTCGCCGCCACGTCCGACAGCAAGAAAACGCCGTCCGCCGTATGCAAGTGTGTGCCACACCATGTGTGTGTGTGTGTATGTGCATGTGTGTGTTTGTGTGCCCATGCATGTGTGTGTGTGTGTGTGTTTGTGTGCGAGCATTCCTTTCCACCCATCAACCTATGAACGCCATTCCACCGCT